TCTTTAGTGTAGTATGTTCAAGAATCTATCCAGTAATATTGTCTTAGTTCGTGACTTCTTATATGAAAACATTCCTAATGATGCTCTTTTTTTGATGACTGCTGTTTTATCCATGTTGTAGGACTTCGCAACGAAATTTTTTTCAAAAAGAGTATCTCTGCTATGTGGCTGCAATGAATTTGCACTGAAGCACATAATTTTTTTGAATAGTATTATTAGTAACCTTTATTAGGATACAATTTTCAAAACATTATGAAGATGGCGAAATCCTCAAGTAAGCGATGAATGGAAGGAAGCGGACGGTCTCGAAGTACTGGGATCCGTCCAGAAGAACATCAGTCCAATGAATCTGGCTCATCGCGCGTACACCTTTCAATCTACTAAACAAAAACCGATCAACTCCTCGTGGGCATCTTCTATGAGCCACGACCTATGGTGGTAAGGGATTGTTCCTGCACGCCGCCCCGCGTGACATCAAAAATCATAGGCTCTAAAGGGGCACATAAAGGTATGCTGTCCATCCTCTACTCAGGACTTCCCAGATATAAGTGAACCAAAACGGTGGACAGTTATCGTCCCAGAAAAACAGCTTTACTCGCCAAAAACAATACATCTGCTTGACTCACAAGGTTCTTTCCTTGAAAATGTATATTTTTTACAAGACCAGTCACTACATTTACTTGTGGGGAGTGTAGCTCTGATGAGACGGGCGAGACCGCCGAAACGTACGTAGGCCGCTGACGTATCAACATCGAATTGACTGAAACATTCTGACAATATTGAGTCTGTATAACGGAGTTTTGCATACCACTCGAATATAAGATGCCATTTTGGTATGCCATCGGCTCAAATGATGAAAACGTGAAAACTACGATTTCACCGTAACAATTTTTCCCCCGTCCTTACTATGACAGACCTGCGGAGCGTGTGAGCCTGACGAGGCGGGTAAGACTGTCGAAAAGTACGTAAACCATGACGTACCAACCTCGAAATGTGGCTCAAGCCACTTTCTCTGATTAGAATTCTTGTCGCGGATTTCAGCACTTCTTGCATTTGATTCGCCTCGCCTTCCTGGGTCCTTCTCGAAAATCATCGAACATTTCACTGCTACTGCTTGAGAATTTCGTCTCTTTCATGAACGTCGCAGAATGTTGGTCGAGGCGCTCTCCTTTCAAACTCAGAGGTGACCGAGTTGAAGCGTCCCTTGAGGCGTTTGTTCATTGGCTGCAAGAGAATGTTGAGAGAGGAATCGAACTAGCGCCTTGCTTACCACCTTATTTCCTGGTACACCTCATTACTAACCACTGCGCTAACCCATCCCTAAGAATGAGAACATCAGAGACATCAGGTGACAATATTGTCAGCTCTTTTTTTACGTTAGGACACTGTTCAACCAATACGACTGGATAGTTTGCACGTGTGAGACTCTAGACGTTCTAGAATAGAATTTCTCCAAGAAAAACGATACAAACACTATCAATTCTACATCTCATTCTACCAAATATAAAGCACATATGTAGAACTGCGTCTCTCTACTTAAGAGTTGAGGACTGGCTGATAAATTCATAGAGATGAGATAAAATCTCGTAATAGCGTCACCTTGACAAACTGAATTTGATCCGAAATGCGCTGAGACTTTCATTAATAAATTTACCGACGATTCACTATCGCAGGAAGAGTGATGGCAGAACCAGCGGCGGTAGTCCAATGATTAACACGCGCCTCGAGGTTGAGATGCACTGTTCAAATCTCGCCCGACGTTCGAAGTTTTGCATATCACTCAACGACGGGGTAATGGCAAAACGGACGTCAGTAGTGTAACGAGTTAGAGTACGCGCCTGCGGATAAGGTGAAATATGGGTTCGAGTCCGACCCGACGCAAGAAGCCTTGCACATCACTCTACATCACTGGGTATATCTAGAACATTGAACCACCGTTATAAGGGTTAAATAAAAAGAACTCGGTTCTTTCTGATTAAGAGGGAAACAATAGAAAAACCGACCTCATTCGCTGAAGAGGAAATTTCCGTGAGAGCGCTGGTAACCATTCGAAGGCTGAGACGTGAACTTACAGCCATACGTCGCCGATTTTTCAAAACATCTCTCTCAAACATTGTAGTATCCAGCTCGACAATTATGTTCTCTGACTCAGACTTAGCAATCATCCTCATTGACAACCATAAGCTCAAAAGCTTTCAGCGCTGATCTATTTTGGAGGGATACATCATGCATTAGACGTCGCAATATGGAGCTGATTAAATGCCTTTCTAGCCCTTTGTCAGCCTGGCAATATATTCAAGTCAGTGTTTTTTTACTCGCCAACGAGTCTGATAACAATTTGATGACGACAAAGAATGAAAGGTGCGCCCTTGGTGAGCCCACAGCGCAGGATTGATCAAACGACTGCTCCAGCGTGGCATCTTTAATAACTGCGCTACACAATGACTTCTATTTGGGCATATTGTCATGTTCTGTCGAACAAAATCCATTTTCTTCTCTTTGAAAAAGAAAAGTAGGAATAATCACAGATTGACTGTGATAGAATAAATATCTTCATTTACGTTAGTAGGAGCTCAACTATTGAAACACTTTTCATTCAGTCAAGGACCATTCACTACCAATGGGTATGATTGTTAGGAGTTAAAAAGCTCATTTCTCGTTGAGTACGTAATGAAGCCAGTGCATAGAAGTTTCACTGTGTTCTAAAAAAAATCAACCCATATCTTCTCTAATATGTAAAACTAAGGTAAGATTAATTTGTTCACTTCTGTCATTGCACTTCTGTCAGCGGATTTCAATCTTCTGTTTTGTGTTGATATCCATCGGTATCATCTCATCAACGTTTTCTCTTTCTGAACCATTTTTTCAAACTTTAATGTTCTCTCGCGCAGCTGAGATCTTTGGCGTCAACTATTTGTGTAGCCTTCAATGTTTTTATCACTGGAGACATTTTGATTGGGTCGTGTGCTTCTAAATAGAGTCCACCGAATTATACCATTAACATTTTTGTCACACCAATACTTCTTTGAAAGGCATTTTCTTTTCTGTATACCTAAAATTATGGCCGCTCAGTGGTACTGAGAAATAAGCGAAGGTGTAATGCTGCAAACGAACTTGGTGTAAAGCCATGCCAGCATTCACTGTTGGCTTGGAAGAAACATAGCTTCAAGCCGGCGAACCTCTTCATGAGGTTCATGAGCTCGCTACTGCTTGCATTGATTATTTGGAAATGCAGCATAATTTTAATATTGGTAATGTATGTGAAAAAAATTTTTCAACCAGTTCAGTACGTCAAATAGCAAATCTATATTAATCTTTGCTATCGTTGGAGACGGGCTATCATCTTTGAGTTTAGGAAGAAAACAGCTATAATTTCTGATCCAGTAATTTCCATATTTTCTCTGTAGTATTGAGTATACAGATGGTATGACTAAGGGGTGGTATAAATGGCGAGCTGTGTTGTCATTGGAGTTTATCAGAAATGATTGCAAGACAATGCACTTTTGCATTGATTTATAGAACACAGGGAATTATTTTCTAATCACAGAATGACATTGTTTAGTTTTTCGAAATGTCAGCAGTCAAGTTAAGTGAGTTACCTGGACATCGCTGCTTGTTCGGTAGGTCTGCTGTGTCATAGTCACATCAATCTATTTACTTTACTGTAACCGTCAGTCAAGTTGCAGTTATTCTTCCTTCCACATCTTTCATTTCGATCCATAGATAGCTAGAAATCACAGACTAGATAGCGTTTTTCATCGCAATAGTTTTTGGCGTCATTTGTTCTTTTTTTTTTGTTATTAGTTTGGTTGATTTGGCCTGGTTTATGTCGTAAAGGTGTTTTTTCATGGTAGCGGGAAGGTTTAGGTATGGATATGTTACAAATCTGTTCTCCCCTTCAGCATTTCTTTTCATGCAGTATTTCAAAATTGCGGAAGTTGGCGATTCCTTACGATTTGTTCTCGAGTAATTTAAGCTTCAGTAAGCAGCTTACTAGCCTCATGGGTCGCCGCTGATTTGCCGTCATCTCAAGCAAGCACATCCATAACTTTAAGAGAAAAATGCTAAAATAGAATTGCATTTAGTCTGCTTTGATTGTTCACGAACCCCACAGTTATAAATAGGGCTGTTTCAAAGAAATTAATAGCAGTGATCAGACAACCGTCGAACCGTCTAACCTCTTGTGCTACAAAATTGCGCGGCTTGCCCTAACAACGGAGACGGCTGTTGCACAAGTTCCTCTATGGAGTACCCGTTCTGTTATAAAACGTAAGTTGACGTTAAGGAAAAATTCGTGTGGTAATCCAAAACAAGACATTTTGACATTTCCATCAATTTTAAAGACACATAATCAATTCGTGAGATGGAATAAGTTTGATAATATGTGATTTCGCCTTCAGGTTGATTTTTGACTAGTACAGATGCATTCTTCACCTATGCAAACTCTGCACCACTGAATTCCATGGATAAGTGGAAGACTGTAGAAAATTGTGTCAGAAAAAGAGGTTTACTATGAGATCATAATTAGGTTTCGAGTTTCCTCCGTTGGAATTATGGAATACTTTGTTTGAGTAGAAGGCGTATCGATTTGATTCAATAGAGGTTATGAAAATGGTGAAATTTGCTGAAATATTCGTCAGCATGAATCCAGTTCACCAAAAGCAACCTAATTTCTGTTCAATAAATAAACAGTAACCTACTGGTCATTTCTAAGAGAACTGAGTGGTGGGCAAGACACGGCCTCAGGCGATAATCGATCCTTGTGTTTCATCCTATCCGTGAACGCGTGCTCTACCACTACACCACCGAGACTCATTTGCCCGACCACTAATTCTTCAACATCTCAATGTTAGCTATCAGCCACCAACCTTTTAACAGGTTTGGTCGGGTATGCGATTTCGCTTTATAAACCCAGTTGAGCTTACAGCCACTGTTAGATCTAAGGTTGGTGGCTGATAGCTAACATCGAGATGTTGAAGAATGGGTGATCGGGCAAATGTGCCTCGGTGGTATAATGGTAGAGCACGCGTCCCAGATAGGATGAAACACGGGTTTGATTCCCGCTTGAGGTAGTGTTTTTGCCCAACACTCAATTCTCTTCAGGATACATGTAATATCATAACACTGCGAAAATGGCAGTAAAAAAAAACTAGAATTTCGGAATTGTGAGGATAATAGGAAGTCGTTTCTAGAACAAACTAGCCGAATATTATAGAGGTTCTGAAATTGATCTGTTCTCATTAGCGCAGTGATTATGATTTCATAACATATTTTAAGCCTTTCATGAGATCTGTTATAGGATTTACAAAGTGTAGACGTACGTTTCGTTCTTTGTATAGGAAGCGCAAAAAGTTCTGATAATTTTGTGTTTCGTTTTTCGGAACTGATATAATTTCTCTTAGTAATGCTGATTATTTTTGAACTCTTTGTTCAATTTTAGTCTAGAATCTATTCTATTCATTTGTCTATTTTCAGGTGAGCTCAAGTTATAGATCGTAAAAATTAAAGTATCGCAGTATTTGAGTTGCACGACAGAAGTGAAAACTGCCGACATTGTTGAAATAAATCAATGCAATCGACTATTTTGAGACTTCACTTAAAGGATAAAGGATAAAGCTCTCGGCGTTGATCAATCCCTGAGGGATGCGCCATGCATTCGACTTCAATTTCTAACTTCGTTTGAGGTGATTGAATGCACATCTGGCCTTTACAATGACTCGCGGAGGCCTCCCGCTGAACCGAGTCAGTGCTGCTTATCCTCCCAGACAAGTCTGAGACCTGTCTGGTACCAATTTACCGACCCCGGAGGGATGGATGGCTTGGTGAGCCATGAGCGCGAGATCGAACCATTGACCTTGTGAGCGACGCAGGGCACCTCTAACCACTGCGCCACATGCGCTCTTGAGACTTCACTTAAGTACAATATAATCTGACAATGTATTTTGAGCTTTTCGTGAGGTGTGTTATGGACTTTCTACAGTGCGTGACACGTGTTTCGGCTTCCCAGCCTCGTCAGTTGCACGGTGCCTTTTCGTTCAGTCGCCTTAGGGATTTACGCATGTATGGAGGAGGCAGCGACGAACTTTTACGCTCAGCGTGCGGTGAAACAATCTCCGTGATGTCCTTTCGGAGTGTGTGGTTCTCGAATGCTTGCGTATGGCTGTTACGTGAGCCTATGTAATAATGTATGCAGTCGATCAGTCTGAGAACTCGTTCAAGCAAAGTATAATTTGGCAATGTTTTTGAGCCATTCATGAGCTCATCATCGCTTCCGTTATACAGAGGTAGACCCCTGAGAAACTTACTGGACGGAAAGGCATTGTGTAACTGACGAGACTAGAAGGCCGGAAGACTTGTCTTGCACTGTATAAGTGCTAAGAGATCTCGTGAAATACTCAAAATACATTACCAGATTATACTGTTAAAAACAACTGGTTTTAAATTAGCAAGTTTCCACAGAGCCGTGAAACGTTTCAGAGAAACTGGAAGAATTGAGAACCGTCTTCGACAAAGTCGTCCAACTGTCTCGTCTCCCGCGTAAAACATTCTAAAGTTTCTTGCTAGTCCCGCTCATCGATTGCTGCCTGTCGGGAGCTGTTTCCAGGCTTTTGGGGCAAGGACATTTGACCATCAAACTCGCCTGTTCTCAACCCAGTGGATTGCTCCATGTGATCTATACTTATGGAAGAAGTCTCGACAACTCGCGATATTAGCGTAGACGTGTTTGGAGCTTGTGACGAAATTACGGTGGTAACGTGTGCGAGCATCGTTGAAAATTTTCGCAAGCGAGTTCGTCAATGTATGTCCAAAGAGGACAATTTTGAGAGTTTGTTAAAAGCTTGTTTATTCATTGTTATAATTTTGATCCAGTAGACGTAATTTTTCCTTCAATTGAATGAATTCATTTGTTTATGCAGTATTTTCTTACAGTTGAATTATGTGGAAAAATTACAAGGACTTTTTGCGTGCCCTGTAAAGTAATGATTCGATGGGTATTTGATACTCAGATTTGGTCGTTTTTATGACTGGCTTTGTTTATATACATATTAGCGTTGTGACATAATTTGGTCATGTAATCGGTTCAGTTTATTGAAGTTTGGCGAAACTTTCACAAGTTGAAAATTTTTGTTGTCGCTATGAGTATCGCTGAATGCTGGCCAAGTTAATTCTCCTTGGAATCTTGAGTCATCCGTTAAAGCGTTCACACGTGAATTAGAGAGAGTGGGCTTGTTGAGGATAAGTCTGTTACCAATTAGAGACATCGTAGGAATAAAAGAATTGGTGGGCCGAAAGCGAGGTCGAATCATCACCGCGACAAGTTAGGCCTCCACGTTTTCGCGCGGAACCTTTAGCACTGCTTTACCCATACTTACATACGTCAATACTATATATATATATATATATATATATATATATATATATATATATATGTATACGTATATATGTATACACATATGTATACGTATATATGTATACCTATGCGTAAGTATATGCAGACATGCACGCGTGTGCATGTATGTATATGTGTGCATAAACACATACGCATATATTGCACATAAATGCACGTCATATAACACGTGCATATATATATATATATTTATATTTATATATATATATATATATATGTGCGTGTTTATATAGCGATACAGATTAATAAGTGTCAAAATTGGGATTTGGAAGAAAATTTCCCTCCGAATCTCTGCAAAGGTAATATTTGAGGTTTTTATCTCACAAATGAGTTATCTGAAGCCCTTTGTCTGCGCTTTCTCATTCTGTTATCTCCGCTATGGTTCACAGCACTTTTAATCAAATCTTCAATTCCAGGTTATCCTCCAAATATGCAGGGCGTTCCGCAACCTCAACAACCTCAATCACAAGTTGTGACACAGCCTAATGGACGCCCAGGCGCAGCTCCCCAACCGCAATCTCAGCGTCCGGCATATCCATCTGGTGCTAATCCACAAGCACCACCACAATATGCCGCTTACCCGAGCAACCAACCTGCTGGATTTCCTCAATCACAGGCAGCACAAGCTACCGCATATCAGCAACAAATGTACCAGAGACAGCAACAGGTTAGTTTTTGTTCTGACAATTTGTAAGAGAAGTGAAAACACCAAGCAAGGAAAGTGCATATTTTGTTCAATCGTGAATTTTTTATTTTCGAGTTTACTGAGCAGCTGTTCTCCGAATATTTTCAGTAGTGCAATAAATATACCAGAATGTGTTTACAGTGACCTTCTACCTTTCCTATCTGGTTATTCATTATACTGGGGGGATTTTTTTTTATCAATGATGAATGAACAATCGTTCACGTGTTACGCTACCATTTTCCAGCATCCGCTGACATATTCAGTTTCAGTTACTTGTTTCTGCTTTTGCCTCATAGCCAATGATCAAACATCTGTTTCACCTCAGAATCTGTGATTTGTGACGTTACAGCAGCGACAAGACTTGAATCTTCACGAAGCTGTCATGGTCGTATATGATATTCTATCAACTCCATGTTAATTTGTTAGCGACTAGTACAGTTTGAAACGACAGAATTTGAGAAGAAGATAACAGTAACATGCATCGACTTGATGAATAGTATAGGTCTTACTTCGTTCCATAAATACCCTTTCTCTTTGGTTATGATGCAACGTTGGTGACTCGAACGTCGTTATCTATTGTCGACACAAGTTGCGGTACCAGTACGGGCAATGCGCGGTTGCGTGTTAACGAACGAATCTGGCTGCAACCACTCGGCCATCGAAGAGCTTCTGCACATAGTTCCCTTCCATAAATTTGGGTGCAGTAAGTTGCACGTGAATTTACAGTCAAGTGTTGCAAAAATCAATCTCTATAGGAAGGTTGAAAATTGCGTACCTTAATTACTCCACACAGTTGTGTCTTCCGGCTGCATTTGGTAGGACAGATCATCCGAAACAAAATCTTTCAATCGCTTTCTCGTGTACTACTAGTGGAACCGGTGAGGTCGGTACGCAGTACTGAGAGTTGCTGTCATTTAACCGTACATACAAATCAAATTCATCACCTATTGAATAATCTGAGGAGGGTGGACGGATGCAGCTGCTTCTTATCTTCTGCAAGAGGATGTTAGATTGGACGAAACTGCGACGATCGGCGCAGTAAGCGAGGATCGATTCTACATTTTGCTTTTATGATGATCCTTGAATCATTGGTTTTTCTTCTCTTGTGAACTGCAAAGAATTTTCCCCACGACAAGAGCGTTGTCAACTTCGACGGGATGAAATGAGAACCCTAACATTTCCACCGACTAGATGCGGCAGTTGTACAGGGAAGGCGATTAATTTCGACCCTCATCTAGAGCGTTTCTGTTAAGAATGTATTTAGCCGCCGCCTAGATGTTTGGTTGAAATAATGAATTGGAATGTTGAATGCAGCACAGATGAGTTTGGAAGAGAATCAGGATGATTTTTTGCGCCTACCTTTTATGAAATTCACTAAGATATGTTACTCAAAACCCTCAATAACAGCCTTTATCAGTGCAAAGGTCGTTACATAGTGTTTCCATGCAAAATTATCAAATTGAGGTCCCACAGCATCAACAAATGCGACCTTATATGTCTCCGCAGGGCACAATGGTAACTTCTACTCATCAAGGAGGTGAGTTCTGCTTGATTTTTGACGTCACTACTGATCTTCTCAATGTTACCTAAGCAATCCATAATTCCTTGATGTGCTAATGCTATCAGTTTTGAGGAAGAGTAAGATGAGACCGCCTGGTACTCTTTTAATTTTATTCGAATTTTTTCATTGTTTCAAGATTAATTTTAGTTATCCTAAATCCTTTTTTCAAATTTCAAAGTTTATAGAGAAGAATTTTATTTTTTTCATTGTTTTCCTTTTTTCCAATTTTTTTCCTATTAAAAACAAAAGGATTCGTTACGGAACGGTCTAAATAAAATTACGTTGGTCTTTTTTTACCATGTTAGTTTTTTTTTTAAAGTTTTTGTTGGTCGCAAATAAAGGATGCACCTCAAATTTTTACTAAATTTTTTTGTGTTGGTGATACTGATATAGAATGCGTTGTTTGGTGATTTGCAAA